CTCACGACAAATTGAAAGCTACGGCGGCCACAGTCGCGTGTAAACAGTATGAATTGATAGGTATGGTCGTCACAACCGCGGAGAGGCAGGAGGAACAAGGCAGAATGTTACAGGATATTGCCCCGGGCGTCTGCACTCTCGTTGACAAACTTGGTGGTGCCTGTAAGTCCCCTAACCTCCCTGGCCCTACAGGACACTGCTGACCCTTGGATAGCGGGGGGGCGCACCCGGGTAGAGACAGTGATGTCTCAATTTTTTTAGTTTTATTTGAATTTTCAGTGTTTTCAATCTAATCACAAGGTTTTTTTTCTTTTTTCTTTCGTCGTTTATCCGCCATACAGACTAGTCTTGGTGGTTTCATACTACCTGTAGCTTCAGGTTGCATTTTACCCTTCGTTTCTCTCACGTTAGTCTTTTCCTCAGCACTCATTTCATGGTTAGTCCCCTTACGTCCTTCCCATCCACAACCTTCTGAACTCTGCTTATTCATTCCCATACCTCCCCCCTCCGAGTCTTCTTCCCCCGATACCACCACCACCTCTTTTTCGCCAGTAACATATTACAGCAGCGGCCGGCTCTGTGGACCTATTATCTCTTCATTCACCACATCTATTAGCTCTTGGTCCCATTGGATGGCAGACGACCAAATTTCTCGTGTTTCCTCGTCAGTGGGGCTCTGGTTGCTTCACACGTTGTCTAGGGGGGGGGTAGACTACGAAAAGATTTCTCTCTCATCGTGTCTACAACTACACATTTGGCGGCTGACACCTAACATCTGTAAGTGGCAGGGAGGTCGGGGGGTGAAGGATACATAAAATTAAAAGAAAAACCCATATAAATAAATAAATAAAATAAACAAGGAACCCCGTGGAACGTCATGAATTGACAATGGAAATGTCTATCAGCTACTTTTTCTTGTGAAAAGAAATATCGTTTTAGGCCCTGTTTGGAAGGCCATTTTTATAGCAAAAAAAGTGACTTTTATGGTATAAATTAGAACAACTAATCTTTCTATAATTTTTATAAAAACAACTTATAGTATAATTTAAAATAAATACCACAGTATTTTCAGAAAATAAATGTATTTGGTACTTTCTAACTTATAATACAGTTTGTTTTTTCAAACTTATAGTATAGTATAAGTTAAAAAAACTTGTAAACTGGTCTCCTCTATTTTTTAACTCTACTAAAAACAACTACAGTATGATTGTCTTTTTTAAAAAAAAAAATTCTATAGTATTTGTAATATGCTGAACACAGTTTCAAGCTGAAATAAAAATACTGTAAAAAAAAATGTACCATAAAGATAGAAATACTATAGTATTTTTGGCACACTAAACAGGCCCTTAAACAAAAAGATATTTTATTCACCAGTTACAATTTATTGTATCATGGGTTTTCCAAAATATTATCCATTGTCCCCAATTCTATACATAGTGATATCCCACTCATCCACTGCACCCTCTGCCCGGAGTTGCAGGATGTTAACTTATGTACGGACTGTAGCCGAAAGAGTGACGTCAAGGTTCCATGGCTCAGTTGGTTAGCGCGTGGTGCTAATATCATTCCTTTGTTAACGCCAAGGTCGAGGGTTCGACCCCCTCTGGAACCATTTTGTTTTTGTCCTTTTCGACCTCTTGCACTCAATCGAGATGAGGCTTAAGTCCCGATTGCCGAGTGGTTTCTCTCGCGAGATAAGGGCACCATATCACTGAGTACTGTACGATGCGAAGATAGACCTGCGGACCCCCACTCGAAGTTATTCATGCCCTGGCCATGATGCTTTGTCGTCAGAAATTCAACGACGGTTCAGTACAAAGAGAAAAACAGTATTATGCACCCTTCCGGGGACCCTTGGAAGGCAACAGCCAAGGAAACATTTCGCTTGGGAAAAGCAATCACGATCGGAGGATTTGATTTATATATTTTTTTCGGCTCCTCGATTTTTACTTCCTATCATCCTCTATTCGTTTCTTCCAATCCTAACCTCCCTAAGCCACCGCATACCCCAACATTTCTGATAGCGGCGGTGGTCTGTCGGCTCTATCTTTCGCTTATATCATCCGGGGCCAGACACCTTCCCTTACGGGCTCAGCGGACACCTCCTACCGGTAATACGGATCGCGACTCATACAACCCATACGCTCGCTAATACACACAAAAAAGGTATACCGGGGCCGCTCCCTCACTGTCTTCTGCAGTGCCAGGTGCACCGGGTAGCTCAGAAGTGGGCAGCCTACGGTACTTCATGCAGTCTACCAACCGAATTGAACCATATCAAATTTAGGAGGGTAACTTAGCCTGCTTTCCCTCTCCCCCGGCCCGCCATACGCGGTTATGCAATACCGGTACCGGTACTGCATCCGAGAGTGAGGGGGACTGCAGGTGGCATGCTTGCCAAATATGAAATCCCGGATTACCCCAAATCCTGAGGTGGAATGATAGCCTCAAGTTACCTGGTATCACTTGACCCCCGGCCTCCCCCGAAATGCGACTCCAAAGTATGATATCACTCCCTTTAGGTCTCATTCATTCACCCAATGTCATGCACTCTTCCCTCTCTCCCTTTCCCTGTGGACATGCTCCCAATACAATCAATCAGCATAACCCCACCCCCTAGCAGCCAAGACAGACACAATTCCGGCCAGGATCTTTAACCGACTCTAACAAAGCGGGGAACCTCCATGGGCGCACAACCTGGACTCACCCAGCGCGGGAAAGAAAATGGAAAAAGAAAAAAAGAATACATCCCTACTCCCGGTGGTGTGCCTTCCACGTACCATACCACACTATCGCTTTATCGCCGTTGGAGATCGAGATCGATGTCTACTGCGGACCCTGCGTGGCAGGGTGTAAGGTTGGAGGTGCGGTAAGAAAGGGTAGGAATGAAGCTAGGTATAGAAGCAGTATAAGAGGAGACGGAAGGGTGTGTCAGTGATAACCAATATATGCAGTGGAATTGTTCCCGGCTTTTGAATGCTTACTCAATTTAATTTACCGAACTAGTCCTAACCTCCCCCCTCAGGATGGAGAAGTCACCCCTCTCGGAGTCCCTGGCCCGGGGAAACCCTTAAATCTTATTTTGAAACGAGGGCAGAAAGGAAGCAATTCATGACAGCGCAGCCGGTCAACCGTACCCCCCAAGCTCCAGGAGCTATCCTTGAACGAGCGATTAAAATCCATCGAAAGATCCAGTACTGTAGGAAAGCATATTCTTAGCAGGTTTTTCCTCCCCGACTCCATTCGAGTACAGTACTGTATAATTTTGGGACCACCTCTAGTATTGCGCTCGGAAGGGTTTGATTGTGCGATCCCGCCTAGCCGGGCCAACTTAAATTTAATCACTGGCCATCATAGTATAGTACTCGTACGATATGGTGGCAACGGTGATGATGTGGTGACGGGCGTCCTGAGTATAGTCCGCAAAACCGCCAGAGAGGTTTTGTTGAGAGTGCCGTGGCTCAACTCGGCCTTCATTATCACCGGAGGAACGGGACTGGGACGGCATTCTAGATGTGCGCAAGCGCTCCGCAGTCAACCTTTGCACAGTCCCGAAAACAATCCCCCAAGGCGGTGGAAACTGGCCTTGTTTGCACTTCCGTCGACCGAAGACTAGTATACCTTGTACATTACAAAACGTTATAAGCAAGATTTTCAAATCCACACCAAATCCTTTTTTCTTTTTCCCCTTCAGCACTGCACTGTACTTGACGGAGTTTCACACAGTTTTCTCCTAAGCCCAGGTTCGAAGCAGGTTACCTCCACCCGGTGTTATAAATAGTCCCCAGATCGAAACGATCGTGAACGGTCTTATTTTCACTATTGCTTGTATGATAAAAAAAGACAGGTTCTTCTATTATACCTATAGTTTTCCAGCGACGGATATATATGGGTATCCACACTAAATCTCCACATATCCATCAACACGCATCCACATGTACCAAGGGGGGGATGTCCTTCTCTAGCATCTGATTCGTACTCGCCCCTAGTTCTCCCCCCCCCCCCCCGTAAACTCATGGGTAGGTAGAGGCCATCATCAATTGAATGGCGGGAACCACCAGAACCCCGTCCTCCCCCGCGTCAAGAGTTATCTCTGCGGCCGGTGGCACAGTGCGCAGCACCGAGGCACGGCCGAGGGAATCTTGTAGGCGCTAGGAGAAGCGGGAGGTAATATAGCGTCGCAATCCGACGACATCTTTACCCCCCCCCCCCACCCAATGATGCGTCCCATTCAAAATCTTACATCGGCAATAGGTATCTTTCATAGCTCAATGGTATCACACTTGACAAGGTTATAGGGGAAAGCCTGGACACCACCTTAACCGACTTGCCTTACATTAGGCACGGTCAATCGCAAACTGACTTGGGATGGCAATAGCCCCTGGTTGAAGCACCCCAGAAAAATAGGCAGAGTGGGGTTTACAACGGTTCTAACAAAAACTCCGTATCCGAGGGAGCACCCATGCTTCTGATGGCCACTTTTTCAAAAGGTCGGTGGTTGGGAAGCTTCGGTGATCCCATCCGAGTAATTTTTTTTAAAAAAAAAAAACCCCCCTTGCGCATATCACTCCTATAACCCGAGTGAATACACCGACTATCACTCGATTACCTTGCATAAATAGGCAAGGGTCTAGAACGTACGCCCTAGTCGGCGTTTTATGGAACAAGTATGCTAACACACGTTCAACGGGTAACTCTTACCTAAGTACGGTACGAGATAGGCGTGCATGGTGAAAGGTATCATACGTCACAGGAGTGTATTTTTCCATCACAGTCAAGGGTCCACCAAAGCGAGTTAGTCGCTTACCCTCTTACTCACTGCAAATTCTAGTATGTAGAAGCAGCGATAGTGCTTTGTGGAAGTTAAATAGCTTACAAATATTCAATACACCAGCAAGGAAGGAAATGAAAAAATCCCAAAGAAACACCTAAACAGATAGAGAAAAACAATGGTGGGGTGGTTCGCAGTTTGTGTCGCATCGACAACAGAAACCTCGCATTTAAGCCCTCCCACTGGTAGCGGTGACAAAGACCTCCTGACTAGTATTCTCCTTGATTGGGATGCTCCCGGTCTCGGTCAAGAAACCTGCAAAGTACTCGCCGAGCTTGTCAACCTGATCGGGGAAGGCACTTATTCCGGTCCACATATCGGGTCGGACGACAACAGCGGCACCCTTAGCATGATCGACACCGTAGCAAGTGTGGGCATCTTCATCTGGTGCTCTATCGTCATAAAGAATGGTTCCGATTTCCCTGAAAGGCGCGAGGTCAGAGCCCTTAGCCAACTTTGGCGCGGCCTCTAGTGGAGTACCCTTAGTAACGAGAACGATGTTGAATCGCTCCGTGCCACCGAACCGGTTATAGAACGATACAGGGTCGGCGAGAGCCTTTGCGAAGGTCACGAGATGCTTGCGGATCGGGCCCTCGAGGTCAGAACCCCAAACTATGATGTTGATCTTTGAGGGCCCGGCAAGGGCATCATAGAGATAACCGGTCTTGGCCTGCGAAAAGCAGACACGGGGGTTGGGGGCGCGAACACCGTTCTTAACAGAGACTGGGTGAGGCCCAGTAGAACGGGGAGGATTCAAGACGTTGTTACCGTACGCTGCATCCACACCGAGGAGGAAAGGCCCATTCTGGGCATAGAAGCGCTTGAGGAAGGCAAGATCTTCGTTCTCTTCACCGGCAGCTGGATCGGGTTTCTCGGGCCGGTTGAGCTCATCCTCACGAGGATCCGTACCAACTCCCTTGAGGTTCACTGGTGGGAGAGTGGAGTTGCAGACGAAGCGGAGGTAGACTCCCGATGTTTCGATAATGCGGACAGCGTGTCTACGCCGCTCATTTTCATAGGTGGGCAGGAGTTTGGGGATCGAGGCTTGGTTGGCAGCGCAGAATCCCAATTTCCACGCTAGGTTGGAAGCGTCCAGGATAGAAGCGTTAAGACCAAAAGCACCCATGACCGAGTGGACGTGCCTAATCTCAAATAACCGATTAACTCTAATTCGGCTTCCTCGGGATGACAGAAACTTACGCAGCATCCCCGACAAGATGAACACGGTTCTTGTACGAGTAGTTGGCGGCAACGCGCTCTGAGATTTTCCAGATTGCAAACCAGGAAAGAGTACTGGCGAACTTGAGCTTGTAGGGGGCGAATATTCTATTGGCTTGCTCTAGAACTTCATCGGGGGTGATGGAGTGCACATCGACGCTGCCGCCGGCTTCGGCAAAGGTGGAATCTGACTGTTGACGAGACTTGGCGAGTTCTCCGGTAGCAGAGGTGTCGAGCTGGGTATACAGACGGATGTATCCATCCTCACGGGGAATGATGACACACCCACCGTGCTTTGAGCTAATGACGGAACTGTTCGAAGGTCAGTCAATCGGTAATAAAAGGGCTATCCGTGGAGGATTTATACCCAAACATCCAAGCATGGGGATAATCGGTTTCAAAAACACAGTCCATAATACCCCAATAAATGTTGGTGCTTGTACCATCGAAGGAGATGTTCACACTCTTTCGTATTCTGCTTCCGGCACCATCACTTCCCACCAAGAACTTGGCTCTTACTTCCTCCTCCTCTCCTGTCTTTTCATTAGTCAAAGTGACCTTTACCGGATATTCTCCTTTATCCTCAACCACAAAGTCCTTGATAGTTGTCAAGCGTTCTACCAGTTTGTGGTGGCGATACAAATCCCTGATAAAAATTCTTTCAATCTGGCCCTGGGTGATAATATGAAGTCCTCGGTAGCGGGAATCAGATTGATGAGAGCGCCCGAAAAGAACCTTCTTCCCATCCTTGTATATAGCAGTACGTTCAATCAATGGGCCCTCCTCGTGGACCTCCTCGGCCAGACCCCACCGATGAAGAGTTTCCAAGAAGCGAGGCTGGACACCGTCGGCACGCCCAGCAAGTAGCGGCCCTGGAGCTTTGTCTATAGGATATTAGTTCAAGGATTTCGGAAGGGTTATCATAATTTACTTGCCAACAATGCGGAAGGAAACACCCTGACGGATCAAGCTCAATGCAACCTCGAGACCACTAGGACCCGCTGTGAGGAAAAGTTATTAATAGGTTCGAGACATGAGTGCGCTTTTAGGGGGTATTTACCTCCGCATATCAATACGTCAACCTCCTTTTCCTTTTTATACCATTCCGGGGCTCCGTGTGGGCTATTGGTGCCATCGGCAAGTGTAGGCCAAACTCGTTGAACGTTCTCTCCGAGGTGGTTGTGCACAGTGCTACTGAGAAGGTCCACCGATGGAGGGACGACATAGGAAGGTGTCTCCTCGCCAGGTTGATATTCTTTAATCCATGGAGCACCCGTGGAGGGTTCCTTGAAGCCATTCTCGTAAGTGAAGGGCTTGATGGCTGTGGCCATTTTTATGTACCCCGCGGAATTGCAATGGGGACTAAATGTATCACGGATATGGGGCGAGGAAAGGAGGAGGGGCGAGGGAGTGATTTATTTGAATGATTGATAATTATGGGGAAGAGAGAAAAGGGGAATATCGAGACTTGAGCGTCCATTTGTATCAAAACCTTTCGCGGAAACAACGAAGGGTTCCCCGTTCCCCTCTCAGGAGACCGCTCCACCGAAGGGTGAAGGATCGCCGGTGGCGTGAATAACGTCCGGTAAAGAGCAGTCGCGGCAGTAATCCCCCAGCCTAATTCAGAGCAAAAAAGCCCGTCGTCACTCGGGGCCTGTGTTACACTTTGTGGGCGTTCAGTAGGATAAGGCAATCATTGATCTTAGGAATCCCCACCACGACATCGGCTATTAGGAAGACTGGTATGACTGGATAGCAGAAAAATAATATAATAAATTCTACAAATGCCAGCCCACGGTCTCGGAGTTGTGACGCTTGCTTGATCGACGGAGGGATTGATGTTGAGTTTTTACTCGGTTTCCCCACCTCCGTGCGTCTGGGACAGGGCTCATTGCCAAGTCCTGTGATCGGTCCCTTGCATAGAAGCTCGGACTTTTACTGATAGAGGAAATTTTCAACCTCACACCACGGGCCTTACTAAGACCCGAAGCGTAACATAAACAAAGTGGCAACCCTTTTCTACATCAACATAGCGCTTTCTCCTCACAACTACGCCTCAACACTGGCGTACGCCAGCCAATTTAACGCGGAACTGGTGGATACGTGTCGGGCACCAGGCAAATAGATTTCCGTTTTCTCAACTACCCAAACATGGATATTTCCAAAGTGCCTCTCACGAGGACTGTCCAGCGGATGCTGTTTTCTCTGCTGGTCCGGGATAGCCTAACTGCTTGGCTATAATACAGTACCGGTACTATGCCGTACCCCCGACCAACACCACCCGACCGTCAAGACGCCCAGCAAACCTTCATACAAGATGCCGATCCAAGATCCAGAGTTACTTTTCCGTCCCGTTATGGTTACAGACTCCGATGATCCCATCCAGAGTCGAGTCGAATTCCTGCCCCAAACTCCGAGATCTACTGAACCATTTCCTGAGTACCAATAACCATTCAGGAGGCTCTGCCCTCCTCGATGAGGCCATCATGCGGTACCATACCATTCCATTTCTTGGTATCTGTAATTTGATTTTTTTTTTTATCACGACCCGATAGTCTCAGCCCGCCTTAGCCCAATTCTGATGAAAGTCGAATCGGGGGGTTTCAAAGGGCCTACAAGAGCCCTTGTTTTTCTGGAGAGATCATCATGTACACGAGATCGCGGAACGAAATTGGTGTTGGATTGCCCACCGGGCATGCATTTAGGTGTTTTGCGGATCTTTACGGCCTTTACGCTGTTATGCTCTACTTAAGGAAGGCTTGCCGATCTCAACCTCCGGAGCTCTTCATCCGGGACTAAATAGCCGGTTGGTTAGCGATGCGCGTATTCACCGTTTACCGCACATTCCCAAGACATGCCAATTCATTGACTCCAGGAGCCGTAGCCACAAGTTACTTTCCTTACAAGTACCAGTACAGTATTCATTGAATCTCTGTTCAATTGTGGCGAGAGATAACCATATCGGGGCACAGTGTCCCCAGATATGATACGACCGTGAGTTCTTTATGCTGACTAAGACACTGGTCGCTTCAAGTAGTTTCCGAGCTGGGTCATGCGTAGCCCATTGCGGGCGTCTATGATAATTCCGGAAAATCTACTGTCCCCATTGCCCAGAATGAGGGCTAGGAAATTCTCACGCCGAAGCACCACCTCCAGCTCTCCAAAATCCATCACCCGGAAATACACACACACAATTACCTACCGATAGCAGCTTCACGGTCTTTAACACCCTGGATAGGTAGACTCAACCAATGTAATGCATTCGGCCGATTAGAGAAAATCCCCGTGAAACAATTTTTGGTGAATATTCTCAACTGGCGCCATATCTAAATTCAATTTGTGATGGAGACACATAGTGAGTAAAGGAAACAAGAAATAAATTATACAGCAATAATAGCTCCGCGCCCCAACATAAAAAAAAATCACATCCCGGTGTCCCCAAGCCCTTATGATAGATGACCAACGCTCTTCCAGTACTTGACATATAGGTCTACATGTCTTGATTCAATACCTCCACTGCCCGCTAGGGTTCTAGAGACACGTCTAGCCCTCTTGGTATCAAGAACAACTGCTCCTGAAGCCATTGCAGTAAATTCCTCTTCCAGAAACTTTACAACTTTACCCGCTGGATTCTTCTCTACGTCGGTAATCGACCGGACCCTCTCCAGCCAGGCTTCAAACGGGATGATCTTTGATCGTAGGCCTAGCGCTCGCGAGAGGAGTACGAGGAGATCAGACCAGGGCTGACGCATTGGGTTTTCGAGATGATAAACGGGATCCGGGGGAGAGGGCTGGAATAGGAGTTCAATGACCACCCTTGCAGCACGGTCGACAGGAATCCAAGATAGAGTCTGCAGGGGTTTAGCGAATAGAGTGCAAATCTTGGAGCGGAATACAGAGGGGAAGTAATGCTCACGCCTTTGATATCCGGTAGACTTCCAATTGTCTGCGATGATTTAAGAATTGAAGGGAAATGCTCCTTCGGACTCCACGCCCCGCTGCTCTCCGACCCGGTAAGCTGACCGATACGAACGCTTGCTGTTTCAATTCTCCCCGCATGTATTCTGCCAGCCTCCTCGATAAGTTGCTCGCAGACCCACTTGGCCTCTGGGTAGCCGAAATGGTCCGTCACTTGTGCATTGTGCATGGGCTCTTCGGGAATAAGAGCACTTCCTGTAAGTGCCGGATACCTTCCCACAGCTGCGACCGAAGAAGTAAACAAAATCCGAGGCTTGTTTTGTTGGTTTCTTTCATTCGCTAACAAAGCCAAGGAGATGATGTTTTTGGTTGCATGGAAATGGGGTTCAAAAGACTCAAGAGACCTGTTAAAATCCATAGGCCAGGCATTGTGAATGATATGTGTCACGGATCGAAGGGAATCATAATAGGAGCCCGGTAATTCAAACGATGGTGTTTTCAGGTCGGCCTCGCGGATCGTTATTTTCCCCCAGGATGAGGCTGGGATTGTGATTCCACCTTTTGAAAGTGCAGCCTCTTGTCGAGAGCGGAGGTCATTGCTGCCCGTTGAGCTGGCCCGGCGGTTAAGACATATGACTCTGCTGACATGGGGCAAGGCAGCGAGCTGCGCCAAAAGAAAGGAGCCCAAGCTCCCAGTAGAACCTGTCAGGAGGACTGTGGCAGTTGGTGCCATCGTGGGGGGTGGCAACGACCTGATATTGGACACGTATTTACGAACCATCTCGTTCATGCGCTCAACACGTTCGCGGTTCAAGTCAGATGCATTCCCGGAGAGCAACCCGTGCAAGCCATCTATTGTTGGGTATTTGAAGACAAAGTCGGGTGACAGCTCCCTGAACTCCCGGCTCGATTTGGTAATACTTGCCAATATCTTGCGGCGTAGAATGGTAGCTTGGAGCGAATCCATTCCTAACTCAAAGAAATCATCTGAATCTAACCAAGTAGGATCCGCGGGCGAGATCTTGATAATATCTCCTACCAGGAATTTAAGCCAAGTTTTTATATCCTCCGCGGAACTCGGTATGGCTTCTATCCCCTCTAGCTCGGCCTCCCGATATGCGGCATCGATCTCTTCGGCAAAATCTTGGACAATGGTCTTCCGAGTAAGACTCCCCTTATCCGTACGTGCAAGCTGCTTGTGGGCGGGAGTGGTGACAATTATCATTGCTTTGGAAGTTACCTTCCCGTGATTATCGGTAAACTCGTTCCCAGCCTGCACACTGGACCATATTTCTTCAACATACGCTGACACCTGTTCCTCATTTTTCACGTCAAGACCAATGCTCGCCTCAACAACCAGACCAATGTTGAAACGCCCATCACCAAAAGCTATAGCATCTTTGACCCTACAATCATTTGAGACAGTCATTTCCAACATTCGCGGGAGTACTTTCTCTCCCGTGGCTAGGACAATCAAATCATCTGCTCTACCGAGAATCTTGAATTGGTTGTCTGGCGCGCGAGGATTGCATTGGAGTAGATCCTGCACCGGAAACTCCCGACCCCATCCAAACGGTCTTCCTATGAGCCTAAAAAGCCCGCTACCGTCGCCGGGGTCCTCTAGGCGTAAACCGATGTCTTTTCGCAGGAGGAGGTACCGCCAATCGTAGTCAGGGCCAGGAAGAAATATTGGTGCTATTGCCCCGATCTCCGTGGCCCCCATATGGTTGAGTAACTTGACGCCTGCCTCAACAAGCGCCGCTCCCACTGAGGATTTAATAGGTCCACCGCCCACGGCAACAAAATCGAGGGTGCGGAGGAAGTTAATACCCTCCGACTGGGGAAGATAAAGAAGATCCTCAAGGATTGAGGGGACCGACATCAAGGAGCGAGCATTCGAGAGGCGAAGTAGCGACAGAGTAGATGTTGCGGTTGGGATTATGCTCGCCGCGGGTATACAGAAAGGCTTCCCAACGGAAAGCGCAAGCGATGGTGAGAGCAACCCGAATCCCTAAGAAGACGTGTCAGCACCTTATTCCATCCCAACACCAGAAGACGCGAATACCCACATGAAATAACGGTAAAGTCGAGCAATTAACGCCATCGACCTTATCATTTTCCTCAAAAAGGTGACATGCGGCGTACCCCAACATATATTTGTGGGGGTGATATATTGGCTTCGGTAGACCTGTTGTGCCGGAAGAGTGCAATATCAACACGTTACGGTCCATCTCTTCCACTATATCATAGGCTGGTGGTATCTCAAGGGAGTCCCATTCCGCATCTTCCAAAAAGCGATTATACGAAACCGGTTCATATATATTCGGCATTTTTTCACCGCCGCCAAATGATGCAACCGCCTCTGATGCGGCGCGCTTGCAACGTTGTGACACAATTACGGATCCAGCAGATGTCGACTTAAGAAGATGGGCAATTGCAACAGGAGTCAAACGCGCAGAAATCAACACAACCTTGAGTATATATAGTTAGCAATCATTCTCGCTGGCCCACTGGACAATTACCCACTGGAACTCCCAAGGAGAGCAAAGCCATCACATATATTACTATTCCAATATCACTTCCCATCAATATTCCAACAGCAGCAGCCTTTTCCACCTTTCCGCGAACCTCCCGCGGCCGATGGATACCCTCTACGTTTTTGGCAAGCCATCCCATACAATGCTGTACCGATCGCTGGGCCTGCGCAAACGTGATTGGAACTGGTGCTTCCTGATGATCTTTCACACCTTGAAGACAAAAGATGTGGGAGGGATTATACTTCGCGTTGAAGGCGAGAAGCTCGGGGTATGTGCGGATATTATCGTCCTGGTCTATCGGAAGTGACTTGAGAAGAGAGAAGCGAGGGCGGCGAAACGAAGAGGAGGCCATTTGCAAGTTCGTATAGCATAGGCCGACGCTGTTTCTAGCCCAACGGGTAAAGTGAAGAGCTCAGCTAATTCCTGGAGGCAAGCAAAAGGTTCAAAATTGGGTAATCGCTGTGAGAAGCAGTTCACAGGATATATGAAGCCTTTGGTGAACGAGGAGGACCATGATTCACTGTATGCTTAGGGTTCAATTCCGCCAGGCGGAAACTACGGAAGCAAAACAGGAAATATCACACAACCGCTTCCCAAAGCTTCCGGACCGCAGCAGGCAAAACCGCAGTACCGCTCCAACTCCGAAAAGGACCCAGGTAAATCGTAATGATCTCTTTCTTGAGAAAAGGCGTTAGCTAACGTACTAGGTCTGATGCTGACTACTACGGTATTTGATAGGGATCCTAGCAGCATCGGAGTTTCGAGACTTCTAAGCAACCATATTTAATGTTTCGGAGAGCAACAACCGTTCGGCGCTGCGACTAATGCCGTTGCAGTTGAGAAGGAATATCCCATATGTAGCTCCCTACTTCAATATCCATCCACATGCTATTCAGTCGGGGTAGATATTGGGGTGGGCTGCCTATCTACCTACAGCACTGATAACGTTTACATCTAATCTATCCGTCATGGCGATCTCCCTTGCATATCTGACAGGGGCGCAGGTACAGGTTGCGTTACCCCGGGTTACATCAGGGTTAGGGTTTTCAAAACAATTTATGTGTGTACGTTTGAAAAGTATAGCGCAGCGGCGATCAGGGAACAAAGTAAAGCACAGCTGCCCCTCACATGTACGCCATGGTACTGGTAATTCCGATATCTTTTCGGGGCTGCCGATACGGGAGTGGGGGTATCAATAATACCGTTATCTAACGGCTATTGTCCCAACCCTTTTGAAGTATTTGATCTCTGCGATCTGCCCCCGACTCTCTCTTCCAGGCACTCAATGGATTCCCTACTACACATCGCTTCATTTGATCCAGACAGGACATTTCCATGAGGATTACGCGTACGTATACATTCACCAAAATATTCAAAAGGGAAGCAGCTAATGAGATGTTCAAACGGGCGCCAACGTCACCTCATAGATAATGGGTATAGGCTCTCTGGATAGGATCAACTAAGGCAACCATCACCATGGTGGAAGGTCATTTAAACGTGGGTTGGAGATACATACAAGCAGGGCCTATGCGGGCCGAGAACACGATCCGTGACATCCGGACGCTCTGGACGCTATCCGATCCTTTTCCTCCCTTCGGATAATAACATGCAATCTTCCGAGGCATTAACATATGGCGGGATACAGCGGACACCTTGCGACTATCGCAATAGGGAAACAAATTGAGTGAAAAAAGCGCAAGTACGGGAATTGGTTCTCTAATATCCCCCCATATTCGAGGGTGATTGTATAACCAGGGCACGAATACGGACTTTGGAGAATCCCCGAAAAAAATACTGCGGAGAAAACTACGAGTTCCTCTCCAGTTATACCCTTGCGAATCCAACAGAGCAGAACGGACACCTTTGCGGCTACAACGGCAGGGAAACGATTGATAAAAAAAAGCGCAAATATGGGGGATTAGTTCTCTGATCTCCCCGCGACATTCCAGGGTAGTCGTGCAACCAACGCACGAACACGGACTTTGCAGAATACCTGATAAAGATCCTACGGAGAAAACTGCCAAATTTTCTCGCTACACCCTGGCAAACCCAGCATCGTCCTAGCCATGATGTGTTCCGGTGAGTTAGCGTTGAGAAAAAATAGGCCCAGATTGTCGGTATGCTGGTAATAGCATTTTGTGGGGGATTTGTACAGTACTCAAACAATTAAGGAAGTTACTATAAGGGGAATATGGGTCAGGAACATGCACGCTTGTTGTTTTCTGCTTCTGTGGTGCTCCTCTTGGGAAATTCATTGGTTAGAATCACTGAACCAGCGCATTTGAGCCCAAGCGAGGTTCAATTATGCTTTATGCTTTTCGCATGCAGTCCCTCTTTCCAGGAAAAATTGAAAATGCCTTTGGTTTGCTAGTTAGATTCCCCGGGTTCATCGGTACAGAAAAGGCTCATTCAGTATCTGTTTCTTCAGCACCTACCGAATACCAAACATTCGGACTGGAGCGACCCGGGTCATGCACCACTACCACATGGACATCTCCCCCGTACCCCGGGGGACTGTAAGGAAAATCAGATCTAGGACCCTGAGCTTACTCGGATCTTCCTTACTGCGCCAAGACTACCCTCACCTCACCTCCGGGACCTGACACAATAGTACTGAATTGCTACGATATTCCATACACTTCGCTGATATCATCTACGTATCGTTGATCTTCTATCCCTAATAGTGGTTTGTTACGATTGCAACTGAGCCCTCTAACGATTCTTGGTCGCGAGTGCTGGTCCATGTCTACCTAGGAAGGTAAGGAGGGTTAAGCCCATCAGAGAGCAACCCATCCACAACACACGATGATTGTAAGAAGAAAAAAAGTTCTATCTTCTCGGTGTTAAGCGTGCCGCACCGATCTCGGAGTAACTCATTGATAGCGTTAATCTGCATCGTCAGGCAATTTCTCTTCCTTCCCGGAAAGCCCAATATTTTCCACACTCCACTTGGTAGGAGGCCAATGGTGTTTCATGCTTTGACCAGGGCCTGCACCGGAGAATAAAGGCTTCTCTGGCGCTCAGAATATTCGGGGTAAATTCGGTAGAAGTACTTAGAGCTCCCTCAGTGCCCACCAGAACAAATTTCATTGATAACTCTAGCCCAAGGCCTTCGGTGCAGGTCTCAGAAAATAAAAGCATTCTTCGTACGGCACATTACGAATTTTTTCCTCCCTTATCACCCCATACTGCCGCCTCGGTATTGAGCACTACCCGGTACATGCTCAGTCAATGTGCATCTGATCTGGCAGCAACCTCTTTGGTAGCACACCGAGAACCTCCGAGCAACGCCCCAATCCACCCCATCCCCTCACGAGGCACATAATTACATCCACTAGAGTATCCCTATCAACAATACAAATTAGCCTTTCATACCTTCCTTCATTTTTATCCCTTACACCTTTTCTTTTCTCTTCATTGAGCGGAGAACCTCTACACCACATTCCTCGAAGAATCTTTTTACCCTACAGCAATGAAGAATACAAGTATTCCGGTCTTCTCGGGTCAGGGCTCTCTTTCAATTTTTTCGCCTAAAGCTCAGGCAGTGGCTGCCAAAGATTCTAGCTCACCAACCGGATCAATTTTTCTGGATGCAGTTTACCACGCATTTGGCGAGGAACTCTCCAGCTTGACGGCCGAGGAAAGGTTAAAATCAGGTGTGAATCTTTCCGATTTTCCCACGCCCAACAGCCTCCTGGAACCGAAGGAAAAATATCAAACAAATGCTATTATACAAGGCACAACATTATGCCTATTCCAATTGTTGCGCTACCTTTCATATGTCGAAAATACACCAGACCTTGTATTCGAAAACCTACACTCAAAGTTCTTAGAGGTCTCCGGTTTCTGCTCGGGTTCACTACCGGCAGCGGTAGCGGCATCATCGCCTACAGCCGTCAATTTTCTTTCTAATAGTGTGGAAACATTCAAGCTGGCATTATGGATTGGGTACAGATGTGAGCTCTTCCGAATAGCAGAATCCGTACCCGAAGAGAAGGAACTGCTTTCATGGGGACTGGTTGTCTTTGGGTGGACTAGAGAAGTTGCATTGGATCGGGTAGAAGGCTTCAACGCAAAACAGGTTAGCCCAGAAACTCCTTTCGGTCTGGTATTTAGTAGTCGCAATTCCACTGACCGGAGTGTGTACCATAGGCTGGTATTCCCCTGCATCTCACAGCGGTTACTGCCGAGAAAGTTGTAACTATCTCTGGGCGCGGTGACCTACTGGCTCGATTCCAAGTTGAGGAGGTTGCTGGCTCGTGCAGCTCGCGTTTCACAAGCGTTCATACCCTCTACCACGGTGGCGAAACCCTGCAAAACGTCAAAGCTCAATTAATGAACGACCTACGAAGGAGAAACATCAAATTCCCCTCGCTATCACAGACCACCATCCCCATGCGGTCCACGGCGGATGGAAGGCTTTTTTCCGCTAGCACCCGTTCTGACAAATCACTTCTCGAAATCGTGGTTGACCAGGTTCTCATCAACTGCGTCAATTGGGACAAGACAGTGGGGGCCATGATAACTGCTGCCACTGAGAGGGTAGAGCAGTCGGATGACGAGCAGGTAATGGTAGTCAATTTTGGCCCAGGAACCGGGTCCGTATTTCAGGCTCAGAAGCCACCCCACCCGAGAATTAGTCTCCTCGACCTGTCGCACACCTCGGATGCCGCCATTAATTTCGCCAACAAGAAACCGCTTAGGTTCAAGCCCGAGGACGGCATCGCAATAGTTGGAATGGGGGTCAATATGCCGGGCGCGGGCGACCCCAACGAGTTGTGGAAGATACTAGAAGAGGGGCTCAATACTGTGTCAGAAGTAGGAAACCCTATTGTTTTAATATCCCTTGGATATCTGCAAAGGTTATTGCTTACTAATTCGAAAAAAATTCTAAAAGATTCCTTCCGATCGGTTCGATGTTTCCCAATTCTACGACTCTTCGGGGAACTCAAACAAACGGAAACGGTCCATGGGAACCAAATTCGGTAACTTTATTGCGAATCCCAGCAGCTTCGATAATAATTTTTTCAACATCTCCCCGCGTGAGGCAAAATCCCTTGACCCTCAACAGCGAGTCCTACTGCAGACGGCGTATTCAGCCATGGAAAATGCAGGGTATGTTGCTGACTCCACGGACACCTTCTCCCGTGAAACGTTCGGGTGTTATGTTGGTGTTGCAACCGGCGACTACGTTGAAAACCTGCGCAATGAAATCGACGTATACTATAGCACTGGGACTCTCAGGGCATTCCTTAGTGGAAGGATTTCTTATGCACTGAAATTAGCTGGACCGTCTATCGTCATTGACACGGCCTGCTCTTCTTCCCTGGTCGCCATCTACCAAGCATGCCGAGCGTTAGAGAACGGTGATTGTAACGCCGCAGTTGCTGGGGGTGTGAACGTGATCACAAGTCCAGATGTACCCCCTCCCAACTAGTCCCACGCCTTACCCTTTTGGTAAAAATGTGCTACAAAAGTCTAATCATTTTTTTTTGGTGAGACGCAGATGTATCTCGGCCTCGATCGAGCTCACTTTCTTAGCCCCACCGGTCAATGCAAGGCTTTTGACGAGTCTGCCGATGGCTACTGCAGGTCGGAAGGCTGTGGCATGTTCGTTTTGAAACGGCTATCTGATGCTATCGCTGAGAGCGATCAAATTCTCGGTGTGATTCGCGGTGTTCAGATCAATCAAAGCGGTGAAGCGCATTCAATCACACATCCCCACGCCGCAACACAACAGAGACTGTTCAAGAGGCTTTTGGAGGAAACGGGCATTGACCCTCTGGATGTCAGTGTTATAGAGGCGCACGGCACTGGAACGCAAGCAGGTGATCCCATCGAGCTGGAGAGTCTCAGAGGAACTTTCGCCAAAAACAGAACCCCGGAGAAGCCCCTTCATATTACATCTGTCAAAGCCAACATCGGTCACTTGGAAGCAGCATCTGGATCTGCCGGTCTCGCAAAATTGTTACTGATGCTACGTAATGGCACAATCCCCAAGCAAGTGTCTCTCAAAAGTCTCAACCCAAGAATCGCCCCATTAGGTGAAGACGGGGTTCAAATTGCACGCAGAAATTTGCCATGGAAACCTCACAAGGAAGGAGCACAACGTCTTGCTGTGCTCAACAACTTTGGTGCGGCAGGGTCAAACGGGATTCTCCTTTTGGAGGAAGCTCCTGCAAGACCCGGAGCCAAGATTTCCCTCCCCCGAAAGTCCTACCTGTTCGGAGTAACGGCAAAGACGAAGAACGCCCTCGAGTCCCTCCGCGCGAAGTATCTCAGCTACTTGAAGGAGAAACCCGATACCCTTTCCCTCGAGGATGTGTGTTACACTGCAACAGCTCGTCGCCAGCCGTATAATCACCGTATCGCAGTCACCGCAGACTCGTTTGATGATCTTATCTCACAACTTGAGAAGGCAGCCCCCACACAGGTCACACCGGAGAAGGGTTCCTCTAAGATAGTTTTCGTTTTCTCCGGCCAAGGTAGTCAATACTTGGGAATGGGCCGTGGGCTCATTAAATCCTCTCCCCTCTTTCGTGAGTTTGTGGAATATGCCCATTACTCACTTGTCTCCCTTGGATTTGTTGGAGTACTACAGGTGATGAATGCCACTGAAGGCGAGGAAATTACTTTATCTGAGAAGAAGAAAGTAGAGGCCTTCCAATGCTCCATCTTTGTGTTGGAGTATGCTCTCGCAAAACTTTGGATTTCTATGGGTGTTCAGCCAGACGCAGTTATAGGTCACAGGTGCGAACACTTTTCGGATACTTGATTCCCCCGTCTGCTAATACTCTGCTCTTAGCCTCGGGGAATATGCTGCTCTGGCCGTATCCGAGGTGCTCAGCTTCGATGATGCCTTGAAGATTGTTGCCGGCCGCGCCCGTTTAATGGCCAATAATTGCGAGCTTAAGGCCAGTGGCATGCTGGCTGTGAACGCGCCACCGGAAAGGGTCGAGGAAATACTAAGTTCTCGTTCCGATTCCCCGAATCTTGTCGTAGCCTGTCGAAACAGCACCGCCGATTGTGTTGTTGCTGGCCCAATCGAGGAGCTAGATAGCTTCCGTGCATACCTCAAGGACAACGCTATCGCTAAGAATGTTAAACTCGACGTCCCATTCGGTTACCACTCGATAGCCATGGACCCAATCCGAGAGCCGCTTACGGCGCTTGCGGCCACCGTCAGGATCAACCCACCGAAGATAGTCACGGGATCCAACGTATTCGGAAGTACCATTGGCCCACAGGATATTGATTCTGAGTACTTTGCCAAGCATGCACTGCAGCCAGTTCGCTTTGCCGACGAAATTCAAGACCTTGTTAATCTTCCTGGTTTCACCGGTAG